CCTTTAAGATGTAGACTTCCGAGCGGCAAGCGCTTTTACCCTAATCAAGATATGCGTAAATAAATAAGAATTGGAAAATTTTATGTTAGTAGCTTACACACTGCGCGAAATATTCTGATAATCATCAAATTTGGGCCGATTTCACCCTATTGTTCCTATGGGAGCTATAGGATATAGACGTCCGATCGGCACGCGCTTTCACCTTGATCAAGGTATGCGTAAATAAATAAGACTTGGAAAAATGTATGTCAATAGCTTATACACTGCGCGAAATATTCTAAAAAACATGAAATTTTGACCGATTTCACCGTATTGTTCCTATGGGAGCTATAGGATATAGACGTCCGATCAGCACGCGCTTTTACCTTGATGAAGGAATGCATAAAAAAATACGATTTGAAAAAATGTACAGCAATAGCTTTTACACATCGCGAAATATTCTGAAAAACATCAAATTTGGACCGATTTTACCCTATTGTTCCTATGGGAGCTATAGGATATAGACGTCCGATCGTAACGCGCTTTTACCCTGATCAAGGTACGCATAAAAAAATAAGATTTGGAAAGATTTATGTCAATAGCTTTTACACTGCGCGAAATATCCTAAAAATCATTAAATTTTAACCGATTTTACCCTATTGTTCCTATGGGAGCTATAGGATATAGACGTCCGATCGCCACGCGCTTTTACCCTGATCAAGGTATGCATAAAATAATACGATTTGTAAAGATTAATGTCAATAGCTTTTACACTGCGCGAAATATCATAAAGTCTTGCAAGATATATCCAATTGTTCCTATGGGAGCTATAGGATATAGACGTCCGATCGGGGCGATTTTCAAACTTGATCTGCGTACACATGTTTTAGGACGATTGTGAAAGTTTCAGATCGCTAGCTTTTAAACTGAGCTCGCAAACGGTATTGAAACAGACGGACAGACGGACAGACGGACATGGCTATATCGACTCCCCTATTGATCCTGATCAAGAATATATATACTTTATGGGGTCGGAAACGTCTCCTTCACTGCGTTACAAACTTCTGACCAAAATTATAATACCCTCTGCAAGGGTATAATAGTGGGAATGTATTAACAGAACATCAAACTGTCAAAATGTTAATATTTAACAGCATATGTTAGCAGAACAGCGGTAATGTCAGCTGTTGCATCCGAAAGCACCTGCGCTAAGTTTGCAATTTTTTAGAAGCGTTCTGTGACATTAACTTAATCGTGTAAAACACCATTTGAAAAGACAAAAACAAATGGAAACTGATCTCACAGGTTTGTACTTTATGTTAAATGTATTAATTGTTTAAATTGTGCGTGCTTATACTAACATTTTGTCATTTTTTAAATGCACCTTAAGCTGAATTTTGAGGAACAAATTTCAACTTTGGGAAGAGTTTTGAAATAGAAGTTTGTATTAGTTTTCAGCGCGTCCATGTGTATGTTGTAGCGTTCTCAACTCTGAGCAAAAAGCTGTTAGTCTTATTGTGCACCTTTCCGCACTATTGGTGCAATTTGAATTTTTCTAAGATAATCACTTTCTCCAACGCCGACTTGGTTGCTGTTTGGAATAGCGAGAAGGGCCGGCTGGAGCAAGAAAGGCAATACAATGTTTGATGAACAAATTATTTGTAATATGAGGATCATTTTGATATGTTTGTCCTGTCAGTTGCCCGTCAATTTGGACAAATTCGAATCATTTTGCCTACAAACTGCCGAACTGATATTCGAAATGTATCCGTGGGTGCCGATAAGTTTTGAGTTTGATGGAATTTTCTTTTTGCTTTTGTTGCACTTATTATCATCCACTTTTATAGGCATTGAGCAATAAGTTTCATCTCCTTAAATTTCATTAATTTATTTTTAGTTTTAACCGATCGTTCCTATGGGAGCTATAGGATATTGTTTCCTGATCCATTTTCACACTATATTTGCCTAGGGACAAATAATTACATCGCTTGGGCAGGAAAAACACACGAAGATGGAATTCTCGGGCTGCAATACACCTTTGTGTTTTGAATACTTTGCTCCGTTTCACAAATTAAATGAATAAATATTATTGGGATAATATGTCCCACCAAAAATACGTATTGGGATTATATGTCCCAGGATAAAAGGACGACTTAAGAATTTTTAAGTATGCAGTAGATCAAAATAATTTTTTTTACTTTTATATATTTTAATTTTTTGATTTTTTTTTGGGATCTATTTGATATAGATGTCCGATTTTAATTAAATTAAATTTTTTATTTTAATAAACACCGTAATACCATAGTGTTAAAATATTACCAAATCCCAAAGAATAAAAAAAAATTAAAAACTTTAAATTTTTAAATAAATTAGATTTGCATAGTTTCATGTCAATAGCTTTTATACTGCAAAAATGCCATATAAAAATAGAAAAAAAAGGGATATTTTCATAGCAATAATATATAGACGTCCGATCGGCAAGCGCTTTTACCCTGATCAAGATATGCGTAAATAAATAAGACGTAAAAAAATTGATGTCAATTATAATCTATTGCGCGAAATATCCTGAAAAACATCAAATTTGGACCGATTTCACCCTACTGTATCTATGGGACGTCCGATCGGCACGTGCCTTTACCCTGATCAAGGTATACATAAAATCATAAGTTTTGGAAAGATGTATGTCACTACTGCGCGAAATATCCTGAAAAGTATAACATTTTAAGTGATTTCACCCTATTGTTTCTATCGGAGCTATATGATATAGATGTCCGATCGGCGCTTTTACCCTGATTAAGGTATGCATAAAAAAATACGACTTGGAAAGATTCGTGTCAATAGCTTAAATACTGCGCGAAATATCCTGAAAAGCACAAAATTTTAACCGATTTCACTTTATTGTTCCTATGGGAGCTATAGGATATAAAGGTCCAATCGACTATAATTTCAGACCCTATAAAGTATATATATTCATGATCAGCATCACCAGGAGAGTCGATCTAGCCATGTCCGTCTGTCCGTTTCTGCGGAAACCTGTCCCTCAGTTTTAAGGCTTGACACTTTCCCAAAAGTTGTCTCTCTATTGCAGGTAGTCTATAAGTCGGAACGAGCCGGAGATTCTATAGCAACAATCGGAAAAAAAATTTTAAAAAGAATAACTAACAAAGTTTTTAATTTATTTAATTTATTTTAATATTTAAATACTACGGTTTAAATTAAATTTAAATCGAACATCTATATCTTATAGCTTAAATAAGAAAATCGAAAAATTAAAAAAAAAATAAAAATTTAATAAAATGTTCATTTTGCTGCTTTTCTGTTTATCAAAATATTTGTTTGAGATATAGTAATTATTTACTATATCAGAATGACGCTTTAAGTTTTGTCAAAATCGGACAACAATATCATATAGCTGTTTTAAAAACAATGTAAGATGCAGCGCAAAATCGTCATATGTGGCTTCATGGTTTTTAGTATCGAGTTCGCTTGCGGAAAAACTTTAATCTTTCCAGTGTGACTGCATTTTCGAGAGTTCATCAGAATTAAACGTGCTACGGTCGTACTGTCAATCATGTGGGTTTGTTGACAGAGCCTTTGAAAAAATATTCTCGGCAAGACAAGTCTGCCTCAGAACAAAGAAATTAAAAAACAATACAATTTAAATTTAATAGTTGATTTTTAATTTAATTGATTATTCGCTAATTTAAAGTTCATAGCTGCACCTAGTTCTAGTAGGCGATTTGTCTAAGTTTTTATACCCTTGCATAGGATATTATAATTTTGGTCAAAAGTGTGCAACGCAGTGAAGGAGACATCTCCGAAAGTGTATATGTTCTTGATCAGGATCATCTCCTGAGTTGATATAAGCATGTCCGTCTGTCCGCCTGTCTGTCCGTCTGTCTGTTTCTACGAAAACTAGTCTCTCAGTTTTAAAGATGTCGAATGGAAACTTTGAACACACCCTTCTTTCTTTTGCACGCAGTATATAAGTCAGAACGGCCGGGATCGGCCGACTATATCCTATAGCTGCCAAACAACTGATTGATCGGAAATGCCAGAACTTTGGTGTTTGTAAAGTTAGGAAGTTGGGATTTTTTATGAGTATTATGAATGCATGATATGAATAATTTTGGAGAATATCAACTTCGGCTCCGCCCGCAGTTAGCTTTCCTTTCTTGTTTATTGTGTTTTTTGTACATTTTTGATCTAAGAAACACTTTGCTTTGACACAGACCCTCAAAAAAACGTTTACCCAAAGTTCATATCAGCAGACTGGCAACGCTAAGCAATTTTCTGGTATTTTTTCGTCGATCTGAGTACCGGGGTGAAAAAAGAGCCTAACACGAAAAGCGTTCGCCAGCTTTTTGCCTCTCGCTCTCCCTCATAGCTAGGCTTAAGTAAAACAGAAGGCTTATTTACTGAATAGCAGCTTTAAAATAAGGTATTCAAAGTGTGACTTAAAACGAAAAATTAAAAATTTAGCTAAAGTATTTATTAGTAATATATTCTTATATTTATATTATATATTTTCACTTAGGCATCGTTGTTTTCCTTGTTGGCCCATTATAATTTCAAATAATATATATTTATATATATAATATATATCTATATATATAATCGTAATAGTAATGGGCCAACAATGAAAGCAACGCTGCCTAAGTGAACTCATAACAACTTAAAAATTGTTTCCGAAAGAGGCATACAAGCAAAAAAGTAAATTTCAGGTTTTAATGGATAGTCGTACAAGTTTCAAAAAAAGTTTAAATCCGAGACCTTAAACCATATATGAAGACGTAATTTTTTGGTTTTAGGTATAACTATTTTACACTTGCGTTGTAGCTTGACCTAGAATTGCCCAATGACTTTCACTACACAAGCTGTTTTAAAGGCTAAGAAAATAAAATGAAGATCAACAGAAGAGTTTAAACCTTTGGTGGTTTATTATACACGTTGAGTAACTTGAATAAATACCTATTTTATTTAATTAATTTAATAAAAACTTCTTTTTTTATTTTGAACAGGTTTAACTTAATGATCTTCAAGGACGGAATAAAGAAGGTTCTAGTGTGGATGTAAAAAACCAAATGGCTCACTCTGACTTGGCTGCTTCGCAGGCGACCACTGCCGAGCAGGATCATGGAACCACGTCCAGCAGCGGTCATGTTCCCAAGCAAACGTTGTCCAGCATATATCCACTTGGACCGCCAAGAAATTCACAAACTCAGGCCACGACGATGGCTCTGGAGCAATACCGCCTGCAGCTGTACAACTACGCCCTAAACATTGAACGCTTTCGATGCCCCCAATACGCCGCAGGAGGCGGTGGTGGCACAAGTACTCCGTGGCTGCACTTAAGCCCTTACGGACACCATGGCTCGGGCAACATTCCAGCTGTCAACCGAATGGCCGCACTGTCAACCATTTCCCTCTTCCCCCAAACGCAACGCATTTTTCAACCCGAGGAGCCCAAGCCGCAACACAGCTACATTGGGCTCATTGCCATGGCCATTTTGAGCTCAACTGAAATGAAGTTGGTCCTCTCAGACATTTACCAATACATTTTGGATAATTATCCGTATTTTAGAAGCCGAGGCCCGGGCTGGAGGAACTCCATCAGGCACAACCTCTCACTTAATGATTGTTTTATCAAATCTGGCCGCAGTGCAAATGGCAAGGGCCATTATTGGGCAATACATCCGGCAAACATGGATGATTTTCGCAAAGGAGACTTCAGACGTCGAAAGGCCCAGCGCAAAGTCCGAAAGCACATGGGTCTGTCAGTGGACGATGCCAGTACTGACTCGCCCAGTCCGCCCCCCTTGGATCTCACCACTCCACCTCCGCCCAGCTCTCAGTCAGCCATGCAACTTTCGGCGTTGGGATATCCGTATCACCAACAGTACATAGGCCAGTTCTTTAATCGGGGCTCAGCACACGGTATGCCACAGTACCCCTCCGCAGACCCAGTCACAGCAATGCAGCGACAACAGCCCAGCCAGCTGGACCAGGTAGTACAACCGGCTCAGGCCCAGCAGCCACATGCCCAGCATCAGCACATTGCCTACATCAACTCCACCACGACAACAACCATTGCGAACATGTTTTCGCAGACTCGGAAGCGTCAGTTTGACGTGGCTTCGCTCCTGGCACCCGATGTCCAGATTGTTGACATTGTCTCCGAAGATCAGGATTCCTTAGTTAGGCCAGCGACAACGGCACGGACGACGACACAAACCCACACGGTCATAACAAAGCAAACTATACATCGTGAGGTTGTTTTGGGATTGGAACAACCTGTGACCGATGCCGACATTGACACCGACATTGATGTCGAAGTTAACGTGGATGTGGTAGACGAAAGTATCAATCCTGATCCTGATCACTATCCGGATGCGAATGCAGATCCAGAAGCGGATGACCAGGAAAAGAGCAGAGGAACTATAAAGCAACTGTTTTCTGTTGAGGACAATAACTCGTACCTAAGCGATGGCAGGCTGTCTTCACTCGAAGCCGACCCCGATCATGATCCCGAAGATCTTGACCAGCACCACTACTCCATTTCCAGCTCGGCAGCCAGGTCCTTGGGCAGCAGCAGCAGCCAACACGAAGAGTCCAGCTCATTAGAGGAATGTCCCATGGCAGAGCCCACTGTTGCTCCCAGATCTGCACTCATCTCGCCCATTCCTTCTGCGATCCCATCCACTCTGTCAGTTGCCATTCCAAACGCATACATCGAGCTCAACCATGTTGATCCTCACATGCTCAGTAGATACTATGGGACGTACATGGCCGCAGCTGCGCGTCGGGCTAATATGGAGGCATCTAAGACTGCAAGATCGACTTCTATTACTCCACCTCCAAAAACCAAAATAGTCTCACAGAAGCATTAGATCCATTCTGATAAGCAACTAACATTGTTGGAATGTGCGAGACCAATGTCCGTATATATATTTCGAAAACTGATGTCCCACCCTGCAATACAAATACATACCTAAATCGATATTTATAAAATAGGGTTCATTCAATGCAGTTTTATATACTTTAACGAACGTAAATAAATGTTAAATTATTGTTAAACTTCGTAGGTCGCAAAATAAATTTAGTGACTTAATAAAATTTAGTACTGTAAATCTCACTCATCCCGATAATCAATCAATAAAGCCCAATTTTCAGAATGGTCAAATTCAAGTTATTCCATACTTGTTTTTTGGGACACACTTTAATGACGAAACATTATTTTGAATTTTTATTTATAAAGCATTAACATTTAGTGGGCAAGAAGGATTTATATATGTAAATCGAAATTTTAGCAAATTCCGTATAAATATATAGGGATACCATTAATGTCCTCCATTACGATAAATACACGTTCGTATTTTTTTTGATTGAGAAAACTCGAAGGCATGACTTTTTTGTGTCAATGGGTGACAAGTCTCCTTGGCTAGGTGTAGGACAATACGATTTTTTTTTTGAAATTTTCACGAAAATTACTTATTTTCACAAATTTTCATTAAAAAAATAAGTTAATGAGCCGTTCGCAGCAAAGCTCCGTAGGCGCCTCCAAGAAAAAAGGTTTTGCGGTGAACAGCATAACTCGTTTCTGGATCATCAGAAAAAACCAAATTGTTTATTAGTTAATATGTTTCTAGAAGTAACTAAGTTGAGTTTTTTTTTTATTCAATTTTTGGATTTTTGGTAACACTTTAAAGTCAAAAACGTGATTTTAAACTAAAAAAAAAAACTCGACGTCAGTACCTGCGGATTTACGTACAGAAATTGTGTGCAAAACGAGCTAACTCACCTACGTTCAACTGCCCATAACTTCGGAAGTTTTAGTAGGATGAATCTAAAATTTTAACGCAATATTCTTCAAATGTTTTGCATTCAGAAAAAAAATGCAAAAATTAAATTTAAATACCAGTATAATTTAAAATTCGACGGCAACGACTCCTGATTCTGAGATTTTTTAATTGGATTATTTTAAGTACAAATGAATTTATTTTTCTGGATGCGATTGTTTATTTATATTTTTTCATGTTTTAAAATTGTTATAAATTTTGTTTGTTAGCGACCCTTGATGATTATTTTAAAGTTTTTCGGGCCGAGGTCAACGGTTGAAAAAATTCAAAACAAAAGCTTATAAATTTTATTTTTTCCAATATACATATTTCTTTTGCCCTTCGGCAACCGTCTTCAGGGCAACTATAAACGAACGAGTCAGGTGAATGACGTCTACCATCAAGTAGAAACACCTGCCTTGATCCTTTAACCGATTTGCGCCGTCCAAGTTTTTAAAGATCCCGCTTGGCCGGCGCGGATCATCCACCTGTGGGAGGTGCTTGTCCACCTGGGCGCGCAGGTGCGGCATGGCAAAGAATTTAAGCCTGAAAAGGTCCATTTTATAAAAAACACAAGTATGGTCACTTAAAAACTTTGAACAACGGCGCCAAAACTGTATGACCACCTTGAAGAAGCAGCAAAATGTCCAGTAGCGCCATGCGAAAGTGGCCAGAAAGCGCCTATATTTGCGTTGAACACAAAGGTGGTCGCACTGCCTGGACCTGAAATCTGTGTGTCGAGAAATTCTCCGTTCCGCCGCATTTTCCGCGAGAAAAAAGTGATGTCAACGGAAGCCCGGGGTGGGGGGCAGGTCCCCGCGATCAGTTTTCCGTGGATCGAATACACCTGTTTTCCCGTCGAGTGTGTTACCCATGTGCAAAATATAGTGCTGCCAGACCGTCAAACTGAACTTTACCGGTTTTTCCTCAGTTTTCCGAACTCGGCCACCAGCGTGAGGCCACCCAAAAGTTGCGCCCCGCTCCCCCACATCCGCCACGACCCTGGGACCCCCTCAGAAAAGCGTAGGAAACCCTCCCAAGCCTCCCGACCGAAATCATACCCTCAAGACTGCCAGCGTAGCCCCCCTCAAGACCCAACCCATCCCGGCGTTGCCAGACACCCCATCCCGGCGCTGCCATTTCATCAACTTGACACCGCAAAAATGATTTATTTTATAAAAGTAGGTTGACTTCTTCACTTAAGTAGAATTGGTCAAGAACAGATGGCGCTTTATATTTTGAAGTACATCAAATAATAGTTAGATGGCGCTATGCAATTATTTATTTAACTCTGCTGTCCTCGCTTTTCCTTATGTCGAAACATTTATATAGATATATCCGGAATTATTTATATCCGGATATGAGTAAAGTTTGCTTTTAATCCTTATTTTATTTATTTTATCTTATTTATTTTAAATATTAAAAAGCTAGCCAAAAATATAAAAATATTGAATTATTTTTATAGATTTCGTGCAGAAAAGATAATCGTTAAACGGTTACTGTTCTTTTTTAACAGTTCTTTGCTAAACAGATTTTAAAAATCCAGCATCATTATGATGGTCATAAAAAATTGTAAATATTAGTTTTTGTTATTTTTTAAATTTTTAGTTCTCATCAATCGTTTTGCAAATAAAGTCAAAGCTTTGATTTTAGTAGATAAGGATACTTATTAGAAAAAGGAATGAAACTAAATAATCCTTTATCTAAACAAAAGGGTTATGTTTACAAGATATCTGCCGTCTGAGCAGTTTGAAGCACAAAAATTGATTTTAAATCAATTAAAAATAGTAAAAGCTAGAGATACTAAATAAACCGTATCTAAAATACTGAATTTAAATCGAAACTTTTTTGCCAGAAATAATTTAAGAAGCTCGTTTTTTTTAGTCGATTGGAACCGATATGGGCCTTTGGTGCCACCAAACTTATTTCTTTTATATTTTTCAATCAATATAAATAAAACAAGAGAGAACGCTATAGTCAAGTGCCTCGACTATTAGATACCCGTTACTCAGCTAAACAACTTAATATAAATATGCCTTCTTGTGTTTTTTTTTTTGTGAATTATAGTGACCACAGGAAAAAAGGACAAAAAGTTCAAATTATCAATTTGAATTCGGCGATCTCTTAGTGCTGGCAGCTTTACAGCACGAGCATCAGCACCAGCGCTCCTTTAGCGCAGGCAGCTTTTGTCCTGCACCAGCAGCTGTCTTTATGTTTATGTTTTTGAGTGCAATAAATTGACTAGAAATAATAAACATACATACTTATATTGGCTAAACACATACATTCTTAAATAGTATTATGTATGTTAAAGTCTAAATGTTTGCACAACACGAGTAACGGGTATAGCGAATAGCTTTCTTTGAAAGGAGTTATCTATGCCGGGCAATTGCAACTGTGTACAATGTAAATACATACATATGTATATGTTTACATACATACACACATACGCCATTGTTTGACTTAAGACCTCCAATTTGGCTAACTTGATTTGCATAGTTCTTGGGATATAGTTCGGTATTGACAAATGAAAACCATCGCAATTTCCTTTAATAGAAATCCTTATCGAGAATTAACGTTGACTCTGTTGAGCATCTTGGCCAGCTGTTCCAAAGTCATCCGTTAGATGGCGCCACGAAAGGCGGAAATGTAGGCGCTAGCCAGGCTTAAGCGTCTAATGGGTTTTTGGGCGTTAGAGTGGCAAACTTTTATTAGGCCAATCGATATTTATTGACGAAACAAATACATATCAATTAAAATTTTCATAATAGCATCAAAACTGTGGCCACAGCTTGTGGCTTGTGGGCGTCAGAGGGGGCGTGGCACCATTTTGAAACAAACTTGCGCTGCGTAGGAACTCCTAAAATCTACATGCAAAATGCCAATCTTCTAGCTTTTATAGTTTCCGAGATCTCAGCGTTCATACGGACGGACAGACGGACATGGCTAGATCGACTCGGCTAGTGATCCTGAACAAGAATATATATACATTATAGGGTCGGAAACGCTTCCTTCTACCTGTTACATACTTTTGCACGAATACAATATACCCTTTTACTCTTCGAGTAACGGGTATAAATACATACCTACTTTGACAAAACGACTACTTTAGCGCCAGTAAAATACCGAACAATATTTCTTACGACATCATCATCACCTGGTTCAAAACAGGATTTCTGTTGAGTAATTGACTAAGATTTATTTAACAGGGAGTAAGCAAGTAGTTTACAGTGGTTTCGGTTGGTGGCGGGAATCAGCCGATAACAGCAAATATTAAATGTACATCAACAGCAAATAATTATCAGAACAGAGGAAGCAGGGCAAGTGTAGAAGTACATTGAACGAAGAGAAGCGAAGCAGCGAGAAAGCAGTTTAGCCTAGTACTCAGATCGACAAACGAGTTTACTAGCGTAAAAACTTTAATCTTTCCAGTATGACTGCATTTTCGAGAGTTCATCAGAATTGAGCGTTCTACGGTCGTACTGTCAATCAGCTGGGTTTGTTGACAAGCAAATAAAATTCAAAAATCTTAATGGCGGGAAAGAGCCTTTAAAAGATATTATCAGCTACCTTGACAAGACAAGTCTGCCGCTGTACAAAGAAATTAAAAAACAATACAATCATGAGCGCCCTCTTCTATTCAGCTTTTATCTCCTCAATCGACTCGAAACGCGTTCCCCGGAGTGGTCTCTTGAGTTTTGGGAATAGCCAGAAGTCTCACGGAGCAAAATCTGGAGAATACTGTACGATATGCGTCGAATTCTTGGCGAAATGGTCACGAAGAACCAGTGCAGTGTTAGAGCGTTTTCGGTACCAAACAAGATTTGACTTTTAGTAGGTCCAAATGTTCTTTCAAAATGGTTTTCACAGATCCTTCTGATATTCCGATCATATCAGTAAGGTCTCTAACAGTCAACCGACGATCTTTGAGCACTAATGCCTTCACTTCATTGACGTGTTGGTCATCTGTTAACGTCGATGGTCGACCGGAGCGCTTTAACTCATCAATAGGTTCCCCCCCTTTCACCTTCCCCCTGAAACCTTACTACCCACTCGGGCGGAAAGTATGACGCCGGCCCTGCCCACAGTAGTACGTCTATTAAAAACTCAAGCTTCAAACAATATATGAATAGTTTTTAAAGATATAAGGTTCACGTTCAACAAGGTATACATACATACGTTCTAAAAAGAATAAGTCATGTTCCACGAAAAATACAATTTTCCCTGAAAAGCTCAATATATGTAAATATCCTTTGAACAAAATTATGTTGACATCGCGTTCACATTCTGTAAAATGTAAAATAAGAGTGGTGAATATCTTTGCTGCATAATAAAAGTCATAGAAAACTTTATATGGGAAAAAGAAAACGAAGCTCTTTGAAATCGATTACTGAGTTTTGGTATTAGCTAAAATTATCCCTAAAAACCAATTTCAATGGAATTGCAATTGGCGCGGCAACAAAAAAGATGTGGCACCATCTGGCCGTTAGGTATATTTACCTGTTAGTATTTATTTTTTGGGAGATGACCAATTTTTATCGAATTATATATACCCCTCAAAAACATTTCTCTTTCAAGTCTCTACAAAACAGAGTGGAATAAACTCGAATCTGCATCTAAAATAAACATCTCTCTTCATACGGTCAGGCGGACATCGACTCCATTAGTAATCATGATCAAGGAAATAACTTAGGTTATAACTTAGTTAGTTTCGAAAAGCTGAACAAGCTTTGTTCTAGTTGGATCTCACAGTTCCCGATGCAGATGTATCAAGTAAATGCATACTTTTGGTTGCACTAAGCAACCAGTCCAACCAAGACGGGCTTGTTTTGCGGTTCTTTGTAGTGGAAAGATTAGCCAACATGAGGAAAAGTGAAACCAACCTAAACTTTCAAACAAAAAACAATTTGTACACAGTAAATAACTGTTTAATGTAATTTTATATTTTCAAGTGTTTAATTAATACGAATACTGTAAAACTGTCTATGGTTTTTTAGTACACGCTTTTCTTGGGTGTCAAGTCAATACGAGATACTACTAATGAGAATAGGTTTCTTTATTAGTAAAATACTAATGCTGAATTCCTGTATAAAGCATTAAGTTATTTCTGAAAACCAAGAGTATTCATTTTAAAGTAATAACACTACAGATAACAATTATAAACCTTAGGGTTCCAGCTTTCGGTTGGTAAGAAGTAAGTAAAATAAAATGTATTATTTATTTATTGCAAAATTAATCGCAAATTCGACATAGCTTCATTGTTTTAGTAATGTAGGCATATAAATCTAAATGTAGTCGATTTGTAATAACTGCAAGGGTATATAAACTTCGGCTTGCCGAAATTTTGTTTTATTTTAAGATTGTTCCTATAGCAGCTAATTCAATTCTATACCGATTGTACTATGTGGTGTACATTTTATACCACAAGCAAATAAGTTTTCAGTTTAAACTGAAACAAATTCAAAAACTCAGAATTAATGTATTTTTAAATAATATATACATATTATAAGCCCCTACTCTATAGTTTAAATTCTAAACCGGAGTTTTAAATCTTGTCCCTGGTGTGAAACCAGGACAATTGCGTCAATTCGAATACAAAACGCGTTACCACATTTTAGTGCTTTTCGTCGCATTAGTGTCTTATTGCGGTCATCTGGTTTCCTCATTCGGGTCATAGAGTAATAATGTACATATGTATATAGTTTCTTACTCTATGCTAATACAATTGTTGTAAAAAAAAATTTAATGTCATTTTTAACTTTGGGTAGTTGTGCTTATTGGTAATTTGTGTATTACAAATTATTAATTAATTAGATATATATATAATTAAAAGTGCTGTTTACAAGTAATTCGCGCAGGCGTAGATGCACATACATACATATGTACATATATACATGTTTGCATATGCTCAGCCAATAGATTCAATAATGTACTTGTATATTTACATGTACATACATATGTATCAATACGCGTGCGCCAATAATTGTTACAATGAAAACAGTACAATTATATCGTTGAGATCCGCAGATATGCACAATATATATACATGCTGACTAATGGATTTTATTTCAGCTTTTTAAATATTAAAAATAAAAATTTTCCTATTCTAAGAAATCGTTTGTCAGTTATGTAAGAATTTAATCAATTAACACTTTTTTATAAAAATATATATATAATATACGATAATATACGAATAAAAGGTAACGAATATAATTATTTATTGCATTTTTACTGGGAGTAATTTTTTACTGTAAAAAAACGAAATAGTTTAATATTTATACTACATCATATGAGTGTTAAACGAAACAGTATGAACACGACGTGTAGTAACAGTACTGTCTATAGTTTATTTTTAGCACAAATTTAAGCTTTCGGTAGTTTTTTGTTTTGGTATAAATACACCCATGAGTCAAGATTCTGAAATGATTTAGGGAACATTTCTAATGTTTCGATTTGAAAATCAGTGTCTTTAAGTCCCTAAAAACTAAAAGAGTGAGCTAAGTGATGATTATTTTCACAATCTTTCTTCAATCTTATATGAATGAGATAAATAATAACTTATACTAAATTAAAATTGTATGTTATTATGTATACATTGGAAATTAGAACCGTTACGAAATCTGATTGCAATTATCGTGCTGTTAATTCAATGCAACTGCTTTGATCATTTCAGTTTGCACTTAAAGTGAGTAACCACTGGCCCACTGCGAGAAAAGCCTCTTGCAATTTCAGTAGTCTTGACTTATAGTTACTGACCTACCATTGGAAGAAACAAACTGTATTTAAGCTACCATGAATTTGCACAGCAGTTGCTTCCAAACTGTCTGGGGCGTGGGCGGCCCGAAAACTGTGCAGCGATTGGATAGCTCGGCACCGAATCATTGGCTGACGCTTTTTTATTCTGCTGCTCTGGGCGTGAGAAAAGAGAAATCCGGCCGGCGAAGAGAATTTCAGAAGAGCATTTTACTTTTTACTCTCTCTCCTTTTTTAAGCATTCAGTGGAAGTGAACTTGGAATTGGATTTGGAATCAGTGACTATTGAACATCGCTTCGCTGTGGTGGTGGTGCTTCATTCGCGTCGTTTGGCCGTCTCATTTGCTGGTGTGGACTTGCGGGTGGTTTGGATCACATTCCACGTGCGCGTGCCGAGCTTAAGAGGCCCTATGCCAACCTAATGCTGCATAGCTCCACATGAACTTTTTGCTTTTGAGTTGGCTATATGCTGATTGCGGAGATTTTGTTGCCGCCTCGTAACATGCAACTGAAGAAAGACGCAATCGCAAGTCAATAATGTGACTTTTACACTTTGTTGCGTATTTATGTTTTTGTGCATTTGAGTTAAATAAAATGATATTCATACAACTGTCCATTGAGCATAGTGATGACACAAATATTTATTATTTTTAAAATGACTATAATTTTTCATCATTAGTAGGGCTCTCAGAAGTTGACAGGAAAGAACAACAAAATTGCATCGTGCATCGATACTGCCACAATTACAAGGTAGCTCAACGACTTATCGCAAATAAAAAAATTAATATTTTTGGTGCCTGGTCCGCCGAGGCCTGGCAGCTCATTCTAATTGTGACTGAGCTCACATGGATATCCGAGTTTATGTCATAATCCCAATTATTTAAAAGTAGTTTGATGTGTCGTTAAGCAGATAAACGAATTGCCTGAATCGGCATTACGGAACATAACTAAATGTGACGGGAAAAATAATGTGAATTTTCAAAAGTGCCATACAGTAATATATGTGTACATATATATTATTTATACATATTTATTCTATGAATGTATCTAACATGCAATCGGCTTACAAAGCAGTCCTTGTAGCACCTAGTCAAAGGAGTACAACTCAAAGACATGTAATCTCAACCGGGTTCTGTAAGGAAATGTGAGTATACTACCAACTACCAACTCAGCGGCAAGCCAACAATTGCAATATACAAATTTCCCCAATAATAGTCATAAAAGGTTTCCTTTTGCCACGTCGTTTGGCATTGTTTCTCCCAATGCTGTGAGATGTGAGATTTTAGGTCCACAGCTCGGGTTCGGCCAGTTTGCCTGATTCATCGAAGTCTGGAGTGCTTCATACAGGCATTGGTCGCGACAGGTGCACTTGCCACGCGAGAATATCTCCGGAGGGGCGGGGTGGATGAGGGGCTGAGGCAGAAATCGGAACTGGAATCGAAATTCACGCTGCTCGCAGTGGAGCCGGGACAGAGGAGAGAAATATCTCATCAGTAGCTGGCTCAAAGGAGCTTGAGATCGTGTATGAGATGGCTCGGACTGGACTGGTTTTTTGAGTACGCATGTGCTTGTTTGTCCGTGCCTGTATGTATGTGGTCATAACGCAATCGCAACAATATTGCAGTACTTGCCAAAGTCTTCCAGAAGATCTACAAAATCCTTCGCAGTCTACACTTACATTCGAGATCTTACATTTCTCTCGTCTGAAATATAGACTTCAATTTGAGCGAAATTCTCTAGGTCGGGCTCACGCTTTCTAGTTTTCGTTTCGGCCTAATGATATTGGTACATACATACTTGTGTCGAGTTATTGCTTTTGTTGCCGTTTTTCGATTGTCTGCTGGTTTTGTTTACTTGTTGTCCGTGGTGTCACTGTGGAACGCCATAAATTCTGGAGACTGTAAAGACAGGAAAGGTGCTGTGTCGCATCCACAGCGCTTATAATAAGGTCCACGGTTACATCAAAGAGACAATCAAAGGCAAAAACAATGCTACACACCATTTCGCCCCTGAACCCTCTCCTTTTAACCTGGTGTGCAAGCGAAAAAGGAATTGGCGCATATCAAACCGTAAAACCTCTGCTGCTTAAAGTCCAGCCAAAAATGATTAGGTATTAGGACTTGAAATTAATGTGAACCACACTTGGTAGAGAGTTGGTATCATTGGTTTTGCTGCTCATTCATATTAGATCTTTCTCTCTGTTAATCAGGGTATGCCTATGTAATAATGTTTTCCAATTTCCTTTTTTTCTGATATTTGCTCTTCCAGCACCATATTTTCTATATAATTATGTAAGGCTAGACAGTTTTGGCAACGCGCTCTAATATTACGAATCATTCAATACATTAAAAAGTTGACTTGTTCATTGTGCGGTTCCTGTCTTACAGTTTACAGTACCGTATGTGGTGAGCTATATGTTATCAACAGTGCCAGTATCTGCAATAGTCATTTATTCGCAGAAATACAGCATGCACTTTTAAAAGATCCACAGCGCTTACCCATTTGCACGCACGATCATTAAGTTCAACTTGAGGAGTACGAACGGGGGGCCACATGACAGGTTGTTTATCCAGTTCTGCCTGAGAGATCTGGCAAAACTGGCCCACAGGAAAAATTAGCAGCAACGAACTAAACAAGAAGGAAATGCTAGCTTTCGGGGTCGAAGCTTGGAATACCCTTGCAGAACAATTGCAAAATATTTTAGCTTGTATTTATGTCCTTCTTGAATAGTAAAATAAATATAAATATCCTGGATTACAATTTTAGGTTGAATAACATATCAGATAATGAAAAAGGAATCTATATGCAGGCTAGTCGAAGTATTTTCAAAAACTGAGTATTGCTGCAACCTACAGAAAATTCTATATATATATAACAATATTCATAATAATAGGGTATCAATAGGAAATAGTATATAAGACGGAATGGTCGGTATTGGATTACTATATTGTATAGTAAATACCATGTTTTTAACGACTTAACGACGACTCTTTAAGGGGTTGATAAGCTATGTATTGATTCGATTTTTTAAGCCTTAATTTAAACTAGTTATCTATTTAATACTAATTTTTGAATTTATTAGTGAAATAGAATATAAATCAAGAAGTAAATTAATCAAAGCTTACAACTAGGGTTCATCCTTATGTGCATACCTTTACGCAAGAGCACAAATCTTGCAAGTCTCTGTCTATTAAGAAAATGCAGCGAAAACATGTTTTGGGTTATATAGATAAAGTCCGAATCCACATAGCCATGCTGCAAATAGCGTCGATCCGCCGGGACGACATAAGACGACAGTCGACGGGAATGCAGCATGGAAAACTAGTTGTATTGTCGACGCTAATGCTGTGGCTTTTTTTACGTCGGTGCAACAAAAAAGCAACAACACACTCCAAATAACAACAGGTGAATGCGAATCCAAGAAATCAATAAAAATAAAACAAGAAAGGTGTGCTAGGCTGCTTAGTAAGGAGGAAATTTGCAATAAAAAAAAACAGAGAAACCTTGCCATATTACCAGTTTTGGCAGTTAGAATTTTATTGTTACGGAGAAACCGAACTAAAAGAAAAGACCGATATATTTTTAGACCTATTATAACTCTCTTTATACACTAGCAGAGAGTATTACAATTTCAGTCAAAAGTTTGCAAAGCAGTGAAGGATAGATTTCCGGCCCCATAAAGCATATATATTCTTGATCAGCATCTCCAGGAGAGACGGTCTAGCCACGTCTGTCCGTTTCCGAGATCTCGAGGTTTATATGTCCGGAAATACAGACCGGGAAACGGACATGATTAGATCGACTCGACTATCGATCCTAACCAAGAAAAAATTCATATAGGGTGGGATATAAGTGCCTCAGGAGGTCGATAACAGTCTAAATATAAATGCACTTATAAAGTGAGAGATAAAAAGTTGTCACAAGAAAGGTACCAAACTTCGAAATCTATATACCCTTGCAGCTGTTATAAATATAAAATATTCTTTATTCTGGTTTCGATGAAACCATCACTAGTTCCCACCGAACCATCACAGCAGATTTTCAATTCTGCAGATCCCTTTGCCCCGCTCACGATACGCATCGTCACTACGTGAACTGTAGTTCACAGTAATAGGTTTCTGAACTCAGCTTTCCACTAATTGCATTAGGAAGAAGATTTTGAAAATATTATCCAGACAGATTAAAAACTAAGAGAAACGCACATACAAATGGATACAAATGTGTATGCTTACTGAATATTTGGACTAACCATAAGTGCATTTCTATTTACTTTTGTATTAAAATATGTTAAACAAGAAAGGAAAGCTAACTTCGGGCGGAGCCGAAGTTGAAATACCCTTGCAGAATATTCTGAAAATTATATTTTCCAAAATTATTCATATGATGCATTCTTAATACTCATAAAAAATCCCAACTTCCTAACTTTAAAAACACCAAAGTTATAGCTATTCCAATCGTTCAGTTATATGACAGCTATAGAATATAGTCGGCCGATCCTTATGAAATTTGACATGTTGGATTGATTGGTCAAAAATAAAACCCATAGAAAGTCCCAACTTCCTAACTTAACAAACAGCAGAGTTATGGCATTTCCGATCAATCAGTTATATGGCAGCTATAGGATATAGTCGGCCGATCCCGGCCGTTCCGACTTATATACTGCGTGCAAAGGAAAGAAGGGTGTGTGCAAAGTTTCAATTCGATATCTTTAAAACTGAGAGACTAGTTCGCGTAGAAACAGACAGACGGACAGACAGACGGACAGACGGACAGATGGACAGACGGACATGGCTATATCAACTCAGGAGGTGATCCTGATCAAGAATATGTATACTTTATAGGGTCGGAGATGTCTCCTTCACTGCGTTGCACACTTTTGACCAAAATTATAATACCCTCTGCAAGGGCATAAAAACTAACGAACTCTTTTATTATCACTAAAAAATTCGACATACATAATTTAATATAACATTTTTAGATCTACAAAAATACCCCTTTTTAAAAATGTTCAGTCCGATTACAGTAAAAGTTTATTAGTTCGAGCAAATAACATTTTTTCTGGGCGGTGGGTTAAATTGTTCCGGATGATGTCAACTGTAAAATTTTTGAGTCAGTAACAAGAGTCAGTCCGATATTCGAATCGTAAACAAAAGCTGTCTTGTTCGTCCGACTAGATGAAATGTACTCCTTCCTCCTTTCTGATTTTAATCAACAGACGATGCGTTTGTTTCCCTTTCTTTCGAGTGCAACAAAAAGCATTATATGATAACAATGACACTTGTCTTCTGAGTTATTTTTAAATAACTGCCAATAAATTTTTAAAAATCTTTAGCCTAGTGAACTCATCCATAATACTAATAATTGGAATATGTTTAGGGAATTAAAATGTTATTGTATTGTTTTCACTAAAAAGTTATTATTTTTAAAAATTCAACTGTAAAACGTTTTTATACCACTTTTTGTAAAAAAGTGAATAGTTCAATTTTCTACGATGGCTTTATTTACGAATTCGTTTAATAACTTTTAATAAATTTAAAAGGTAATATTAAAGTTTTGTATTTTATTGTATTGTTTTGTATTTATTTGTATTTTATTTTTTTATACCACTTTTTGTAAAAAAGTGAATAGTTAAATTTTCTACGATGGCTTTAATTACGAATTCGCTTAATAACTTTTAATAAATTTAAAAGGTAATATTAAAGTTTTACAGTTTCTAATTTTTTTTAAATTTGTATTTTATTTTTAATTTTTTTCGATCCGTTCTCTTCTTTCTTTACCGTTAAAAATGTTATATATTCTATAAAACTCCTATATTTAGATTTAAATATATATATTTAACAAGAAAGGAAGCAAACTTCGGCCAGCCGATGTTTATATACCTTTGCAGTTATTACAAAACGACTACATTTCGATTTATATGCCTATATTCCTAAAAACAATGAAATATGTCGATTTTGCGCTGCATTTGGCAATCGTTTTTATGGCATCTATATGATATTGTTGTCCGATTTTAATTAATTTAACACCGTAATTCCATATTATTCCAATATTACCAAATCCCAGAGAACAAGAAAAAAATTAAAAACAACAAAGTTAAAATTTTTTGAATTTTTTTTCCGGATGTTTCAATGGGAGCCATATGAT